TCTCGTAGGTTACAAAAGAAAGCATTAAAACACGATAGTATTCGGATACTCGCCGAAGCAAAGTTGAACAGCATTGAGGATCATATTTCAACAGCAATGGCCGATTGTAAGATATCCGAGGATGAGTTTCGTTTAGTGCTGTCGGAACTCACCAAATACAATGCAATGAAGCAGGAGATTCGATCAAAATCTCGTAAGACCAGTGGTATTAGCGAAGACGAGAAAAAAAGGTTCATAGAACAGGGGAGGCAACAAGCGCGTCAGTTATTCCGTGTCAAAACCAAAGAACTGGTTGGAGATTAAAAATAGATTGCTTACTATCGTTTGATCACATTTAGACTCATCGTTGAATCACATTACCTATAAAAATTTATATCATTGGCCCCAGGTGGTGGTGAACTGGAGCCAATTTAACTTAATCTCATGACTATCATTAAATCACATAATTCATTTTGACATAAAAAATTCCATCTGTAGTAGCAGTATAGGTATATAAATCCAGCTACAGTGGAAGTGGTCCAGAACCCCCATTACCTATACTACTTGTTGAATCAAGAGCAATTCAAGTCAAGCCACAGAAGGTTCGCTGGGGTGGATGTGGACTGTACGATACCAGGATACCAGGATAAGTCAAGCCATTGAAGGCTTCCAGCGGTGGATGTAGACCACAGGATACCAGGATGAATCAAGCCATTGAAGGCTTCTAGCGGTGGATGTGGAATGTAGGATACCAGGATAAGTCAAGCCATTGAAGGCTTCTAGCGGTGGATGTGGACCACAGGATACCAGGATGAGTCAAGCCATTGAAGGCTTCTAGTGGTGGATGTGGAATGTAGGATACCAGGATAAGTCCAGCCATTGAAAGCTTCTAGCGGTGGATGTGGAATGTAGGATACCAGGATAAGTCAAGCCATTGAAGGCTTCTAGCGGTGGATGTGGAATGTAGGATACCAGGATAAGTCAAGCCATTGAAGGCTTCTAGCGGTGGATGTGGACCACAGGTTACCAGAATGAGTCAAGCCATTGAAGGCTTCTAGCGGTGGATGTGGACCACAGGATACTAGGATGAGTCAAGCCATTGAAGGCTTCTAGCGGTGGATGTGGAATGTAGGATACCAGGATAAGTCAAGCCATTGAAGGCTTCTAGCGGTGGATGTGGCCCACAGGTTACCAGAATGAGTCAAGCCATTGAAGGCTTCTAGCGGTGGATGTGGACCACAGGATACCAGGATGAGTCAAGCCATTGAAGGCTTCTAGCGGTGGATGTGGAATGTAGGATACCAGGATAGGTCAAGCCATTGAAGGCTTCTAGCGGTGGATGTAGACCACAGGATACCAGGATGAATCAAGCCATTGAAGGCTTCTAGCGGTGGATGTGGAATGTAGGATACCAGGATAAGTCAAGCCATTGAAGGCTTCTAGCGGTGGATGTGGACCACAGGATACCAGGATGAGTCAAGCCATTGAAGGTTCTAGCTGTGGATGTGGAATGTAGGATACCAGGATAAGTCAAGCCATTGAAGGCTTCTAGCGGTGGATGTAGGATACCAGGATAAGTCAAGCCATTGAAGGCTTCTAGCGGTGGATGTGGAATGTAGGATACCAGGATAAGTCAAGCCATTGAAGGCTTCTAGCGGTGGATGTGGACCACAGGTTACCAGAATGAGTCAAGCCATTGAAGGCTTCTAGCGGTGGATGTGGACCACAGGATACCAGGATGAGTCAAGCCATTGAAGGCTTCTAGCGGTGGATGTGGAATGTAGCATACCAGGATAAGTCAAGCCATTGAAGGCTTCTAGCGGTGGATGTGGCCCACAGGTTACCAGAATGAGTCAAGCCATTGAAGGCTTCCAGCGGTGGATGTGGACCACAGGATACCAGGATGAGTCAAGCCATTGAAGGCTTCTAGCTGTGGATGTGGAATGTAGGATACCAGGATAAGTCAAGCCATTGAAGGCTTCTAGCGGTGGATGTAGACCACAGGATACCAGGATGAATCAAGCCATTGAAGGCTTCTAGCGGTGGATGTGGAATGTAAGATACCAGGATAAGTCAAGCCATTGAAGGCTTCTAGCGGTGGATGTGGACCACAGGATACCAGGATGAGTCAAGCCATTGAAGGCTTCTAGCTGTGGGTGTGGAATGTAGGATACCAGGATAAGTCAAGCCATTGAAGGCTTCTAGCGGTGGATGTGGAATGTAGGATACCAGGATAAGTCAAGCCATTGAAGGCTTCTAGCGGTGGATGTGGAATGTAGGATACCAGGATAAGTCAAGCCATTGAAGGCTTCTAGCGGTTGATGTGGCCCACAGGTTACCAGAATGAGTCAAGCCATTGAAGGCTTCTAGCGGTGGATGTGGACCACAGGATACCAGGATGAGTCAAGCCATTGAAGGCTTCTAGCGTTGGATGTGGAATGTAGGATACCAGGATAAGTCAAGCCATTGAAGGCTTCTAGCGGTGGATGTGGCCCACAGGTTACCAGAATGAGTCAAGCCATTGAAGGCTTCTAGCTGTGGATGTGGACCACAGGATACCATGATAAGTCAAGCCATTGAAGGCTTCTAGCGGTGGATGTAGACCACAGGATACCAAGATAAGTCAAGCCATTGAAGGCTTCCAGCGGTGGATGTAGACCACAGGATACCAAGATAAGTCAAGCCATTGAAGGCTTCTAGCGGTGGATGTGGACCACAGGTTACCAGAATGAGTCAAGCCATTGAAGGCTTCTAGCGGTGGATGTGGACCACAGGATACCAGGATGAGTCAAGCCATTGAAGGCTTCTAGCGGTGGATGTGGAATGTAGGATACCAGGATAAGTCAAGCCATTGAAGGCTTCTAGCGGTGGATGTAGACCACAGGATACCAAGATAAGTCAAGCCATTGAAGGCTTCTAGCGGTGGATGTGGACCACAGGTTACCAGAATGAGTCAAGCCATTGAAGGCTTCTAGCGGTGGATGTGGACCACAGGATACCAGGATGAGTCAAGCCATTGAAGGCTTCTAGCGGTGGATGTGGAATGTAGGATACCAGGATAAGTCAAGCCATTGAAGGCTTCTAGCGGTGGATGTGGCCCACAGGTTACCAGAATGAATCAAGCCATTGAAGGCTTCTAGCGGTGGATGTGGACCACAGGATACCAGAATGAATCAAGCCATTGAAGGCTTCTAGCGGTGGATGTGGCCCACAGGTTACCAGAATGAATCAAGCCATTGAAGGCTTCTAGCGGTGGATGTGGACCACAGGATACCAGGATGAATCAAGCCATTGAAGGCTTCCAGTGATACTGTATGGCACTACCAATCTCAGAGATACCTGTGGCCACTCAACAGTTTCAGAGATACCAGTATAGCCTAACCAATCTCAGAGATACCTGGCCACTCAACAGTTTGAGAGAAACCAGTATAGCCTAACCAATCTCAGAGATACCTGTGGCCACTCAACAGTTTCAGAAAAACCAGTATAGCCTAACCAATCTCAGAGATACCTGTGGCCACTCAACAGTTTCAGAGATACTGTATTTGATGTAATATGTGAGTGAGTATAGTTTTACGCCGCTTTTAGCAATATTTATGCAATATCACGGCAGGGGACACCAGAAATGGGCTTCACACATTGTACCCATGTCGGGAATCGAAACCTGGGTCTTCGGCACAACGAGCTAACGCTTTAACCACAAGGCTACCCGATCGCCCTCGAAATAATAAGCGTAATTTGCTAATATATTGGCAAGTGATCAATCACAATAAGCACCCCTTTCAATCGATGAATTTACACAAAACTTAGTAACTTGTGTATAATACGCACTCGTGTGATATAAGCACCTGTAATTTCCTGTAAATTCCGGAAAAATAATCTCTCGTGTAACAGACTTCTCTTCAGTATCATTTCAGGCATTTCATGATCTTTCATCTTTCATCGGAAATAGAATATCAACAAATATGTATTGAATTACGCAAGTTAACCCTTCTTTGTTACACTATCTAAATGTTCATTGTATATCTAGACTTATGTTGGAAATCTACTTCAGTAATTTTATTCAAAATTTCATTCAATAATGTTTACATTAATTTCGGCAAAATTTTGTGTCCCTCCAATACTTACAACTTCCGTTTACCCCGTTCCACAGAGTCAACTCATATTTATCAATGCAACAATGATCTTAGTTTCTCCTGTGTAATTTTTGACACATTAAGATAAACAAATGTCATGGTTAACATTCAACAAGTATTTGTCACAGAAGTGACGAAATGTCCCCCGCCTGTATATACACCATAGTACCAAATATGAAGACAATCCAGCGATTACTTCTTGAGATATCGCGGCAACACCGTTTTCAAACTCCAAAAGCAGATTTACCTGCTGTGACCTTGAAAATGGGGTCAAGGTCACCAAAACCGACTGGTGTCTGCGGAGTCTGTATATACACCATAGTTCCAAATATGAAAACAATCCAGTGTTTAGTTCTTGAGATATCGCGGCAACACCGTTTTCAAACTCAAAAAGCAGATTTGCCTGCTGTGACCTTGAAAACGGGGTCAAGGTCACCAAAACCGACTGGTGTCTGCGGTGTCTGTATATACACCATAGTTCCAAATATGAAAACAATCCAGTGTTTAGTTCTTGAGATATCGCGGTAACACCGTTTTCAAACTCAAAAAGCAGATTTGCCTGCTGTGACCTTGAAAATGGGGTCAAGGTCACCAAAACCGACTGGTGTCTGCGATGTCTGTATATACACCATAGTTCCAAACATGAAGACAATCCAGTGTTTAGTTCTTGAGATATCGCGGCAACAAACAGGTGGGACGTACGGACGGACGGTCGTGAATACTATATCCCCCGCTTCGCGCTTTCGCGCGGCGGGGGATAATGAGAAAATATCTCAAAACATGAACAACTTTCCCTTAAAATAGTCTCCCCTCTCACAGACACCTGTCTCCCCTCACCAATCTCTCCTCAACGGTCTCTCAAAGATACCTGTCTCCCCTCACCAGTCTCGTTCTCCCCTCACCAGTCTCTCCTCAACAGTCTCTCACAGACATCTGTCTCCCCTCACCAGTCTCTCACAGATACCTGTCTCCCCTCACCAGTCTCTCACAGACATCTGTCTCCCCTCACCAGTCTCTCACAGACATCTGTCTCCCCTCACCAGTCTCTCACAGATACCTGTCTCTCCTCACCAGTCTCTCACAGATAGCTGTCTCCCCTCAACAGTCTCTCACAGACATCTGTCTCCCCTCACCAGTCTCTCACAGACATCTGTCTCCCCTCACCAGTCTCTCACAGATACCTGTCTCCCCTCACCAGTCTCTTACAGACATCTGTCTCCCCCTCACCACTCTCACAGACATCTGTCTCCCCTCACCAGTCTCTCACAGACATCTGTCTCTCCTCACCAGTCTCTCACAGACATCTGTCTCCCCTCACCAGTCTCTCACAGATACCTGTCTCCCCTCACCACTCTCACAGACATCTGTCTCCCCTCACCAGTCTCTCACAGATACCTGTCTCCCCTCACCAGTCTCTCACAGACAGCTGTCTCCCCTCACCAGTCTCTCACAGATACCTGTCTCCCCTCACCAGTCTCTCACAGACATCTGTCTCTCCTCACCAGACTCTCACAGACATCTGTCTCCCCTCACCAGTCTCTCACAGATACCTGTCTCTACTCACCAGTCTCTCACAGACATCTGTCTCCCCTGAACAGTCTCTCACAGATACCTGTCTCCCCTCAACAGTCTCACACAGACATCTGTCTTCCCTCACCAGTCTCTCACCAGTCTCTCACAGATACCTGTCTCCCCTCAACAATCTCTCACAGACATCTGTCTCCCCTCACTAGTCTCTCACAGACATCTGTCTCCCCTCAACAGTCTCTCACAGATACCTGTCTCTCCTCACCAGTCTCTCACAGACATCTGTCTCCCCTCACCAGTCTCTCACAGACATCTGTCTCCCCTCACCAGTCTCTCACAGACATCTGTCTCCCCTCACCAGTCTCTCACAGACATCTGTCTCCCCTCACCAGTCTCTCACAGACATCTGTCTCCCCTCACCAGTCTCTCTCACAGACACCTGTCTCTCACAGACATCTGTCTCCCCTCACCAGTCTCTCACAGACAGCTGTCTCTCCTCACCAGTCTCTCACAGACATCTGTCTCCCCTCACCAGTCTCTCACAGATACCTGTCTCTCCTCACCAGTCTCTCACAGACATCTGTCTCCCCTCAACAGTCTCTCACAGATACCTGTCTCCCCTCAACAGTCTCTCACAGACATCTGTCTCCCCTCACCAGTCTCTCACAGATACCTGTCTCCCCTCAACAGTCTCTCACAGACATCTGTCTCCCCTCACCAGTCTCTCACAGACATCTGTCTCTCCTCACCAGTCTCACACAGACATCTGTCTCTCCTCACCAGTCTCTAACAGACATCTGTCTCCCCTCACCAGTCTCTCACAGACATCTGTCTCTCCTCACCAGTCTCTCACAGACATCTGTCTCCCCTCACTAGTCTCTCACAGACATCTGTCTCCCCTCACCAGTCTCTCACAGACATCTGTCTCCCCTCACCAGTCTCTCACAGACAGCTGTCTCTCCTCACCAGTCTCTCACAGACATCTGTCTCCCCTCAAGTCTCTCACAGACATCTGTCTCCCCTCACCAGTCTCTCACAGATACCTGTCTCTCCTCACCAGTCTCTCACAGACATCTGTCTCCCCTCAACAGTCTCTCACAGATACCTGTCTCCCCTCAACAGTCTCTCACAGACATCTGTCTCCCCTCACCAGTCTCTCACAGATACCTGTCTCCCCTCACCAGTCTCTCCTCACCAGTCTCTCACAGACATCTGTCTCCCCTCACCAGTCTCTCACAGACATCTGTCTCTCCTCACCAGTCTCACACAGACATCTGTCTCTCCTCACCAGTCTCTAACAGACATCTGTCTCCCCTCACCAGTCTCTCACAGACATCTGTCTCTCCTCACCAGTCTCTCACAGACATCTGTCTCCCCTCACTAGTCTCTCACAGACATCTGTCTCCCCTCACCAGTCTCTCACAGACATCTGTCTCCCCTCACCAGTCTCTCACAGACAGCTGTCTCTCCTCACCAGTCTCTCACAGACATCTGTCTCCCCTCAAGTCTCTCACAGACATCTGTCTCCCCTCACCAGTCTCTCACAGATACCTGTCTCTCCTCACCAGTCTCTCACAGACATCTGTCTCCCCTCAACAGTCTCTCACAGATACCTGTCTCCCCTCAACAGTCTCTCACAGACAGCTGTCTCCCCTCAACAGTCTCTCACAGATACCTGTCTCCCCTCACCAGTCTCTCCTCACCAGTCTCTCACAGACATCTGTCTCCCCTCACCAGTCTCTCACAGACATCTGTCTCCCCTCAACAGTCTCTCACAGACATCTGTCTCTCCTCACCAGTCTCACACAGACATCTGTCTCTCCTCACCAGTCTCTCACAGACATCTGTCTCCCCTCACCAGTCTCTCACAGACATCTGTCTCTCCTCACCAGTCTCTCACAGACATCTGTCTCCCCTCACTAGTCTCTCACAGACATCTGTCTCCCCTCAACAGTCTCTCACAGATACCTGTCTCCCCTCAACAGTCTCTCACAGACATCTGTCTCCCCTCAACAGTCTCTCACAGACATCTGTCTCCCCTCACCAGTCTCTCACAGATACCTGTCTCCCCTCACCAGTCTCTCCTCACCAGTCTCTCACAGACATCTGTCTCCCCTCACCAGTCTCTCACAGATACCTGTCTCCCCTCACCAGTCTCTCACAGACAGCTGTCTCCCCTCAACAGTCTCTCACAGATACCTGTCTCTCCTCACCAGTCTCTCACAGACATCTGTCTCCCCTCACCAGTCTCTCACAGATACCTGTCTCCCCTCACCAGTCTCTCACAGACATCTGTCTCCCCTCGCCAGTCTCTCACAGATACCTGTCTCTCCTCACCAGTCTCTCACAGACATCTGTCTCCCCTCACCAGTCTTAAAGATACCTACCTCTGCAACAGAATTATCAATACTAACTTTGCTAAAAAGTTACACAAGTTTGGGGCAAAATTTAATTTTTTTAGTTAAAATATTGGGTGGTTGTAATGACAAAGCCTACAGAGCCTTCAGTGCTATGACCTGCACATGTTGTGACGTCTGATTTGTTCTAAGGGTGTGATTCAGTACCAAGCACAAGAAAGCCAGACTTCAACTGAGCTGCCACATCTGGTTTCATGTGCATTGTATTTCTATCAGCAAATACTTCCATGAATATCATCAATAAACACGAAATAATGCTTTGTACCCAAAGCAGTGTATTTCTGATGCTGTCAATCTTATGAGTGATATTTGTGATGAGATTGGGGCTCCGGACACAGCTGTGAACAAGTATGACAACAGTACTGTAACATCTGGCTTCTTGCTGTACACTACTCACAGGGGATGGAAGGAGGGGGGAGCAAACTTATCTAAAAATAAATTATTGAAGTAAAACAGAATTCCATTGAGCAAGCCTGCAAGTTATTCAGTTACACCCAAAGAATCCAATACATGCAAAAGTTAAGTCTTTGCCTCACATTTTCATCTTCATTGTTGAAGGGGGTCTGCAAATGTAACACAACTGGTATCATTACTTTTCATTTGGTGAGAAATATTTGAAATGTATAACAGAAAAAACGTAATGTAAATATTCAGGATAAGCATAGGTATGGCACCAGTTATACAGCAAAAACCTCATTTTCATTTGTTATGGAAAGCTGCAGGATTGCCTAGTGTTTGATTGCATGTTTTATAACAATTAATAATGTGACAGTAAGTGTTGAATGTCCTACCTGATGGTGCAGTAATTACACAGTCTTGCCAGTATCTACAAAGTGGAAGTACATTAACACAGCTTTAATGAGGCAGAGGGAGGTAATCCTCGCCACTGTGTATTGCATTTAACCCAGCACTGGTAACCACTGTAATTAGCCTGCCTGCTACCACAGGATAAACAGTCAAATTACCACCTAGTAATCACACATGTAATTGAGTTTTCATTATTGATGTGTTATGACAACGTTCATGTTGAGCCGTGTTCTGCTTCCTCATCCAGTTATACAGCCTTTGTATCTTCATTTGCCGATCACTCTGTCCATCAGCTTTACTACAGCTGCCCTGTGTATCCTACACTCTCACATACACGTCTACTACAGCAGCCCTGTGTATCCTAGCACTCATACATACACGTCTACTACAGCAGCCCTGTGTATCCTAGCCCTCACACATACACGTCTACTACAGCTGCCCTGTGTATCCTAGCACTCATACATACACGTCTACTACAGCTGCCCTGTGTATCCTAGCCCTCATAAATACACGTCTACTACAGCAGCCCTGTGTATCCTAGCCCTCACACATACACGTCTACTACAGCTGCCCTGTGTATCCTAGCCCTCATACATACACGTCTACTACAGCTGCCCTGTGTATCCTTGCCCTCATACATACACGTCTACTACAGCAGCCCTGTGTATCCTAGCCCTCACACATACACGTCTACTACAGCTGCCCTGTGTATCCTAGCACTCATACATACACGTCTACTACAGCTGCCCTGTGTATCCTAGCCCTCATAAATACACGTCTACTACAGCAGCCCTGTGTATCCTAGCCCTCACACATACACGTCTACTACAGCTGCCCTGTGTATCCTAGCCCTCATACATACACGTCTACTACAGCTGCCCTGTGTATCCTAGCCCTCATACATACACGTCTACTACAGCTGCCCTGTGTATCCTAGCCCTCATACATACATGTCTACTACAGCTGCCCTGTGTATCCTAGCCCTCATACATACACGTCTACTACAGCAGCCCTGTGTATCCTAGCCCTCATACATACACGTCTACTACAGCAGCCCTGTGTATCCTAGCCCTCACACATACATGTCTACTACAGCTGCCCTGTGTATCCTAGCCCTCATACATACACGTCTACTACAGCAGCCCTGTGTATCCTAGCCCTCATACATACACGTCTACTACAGCAGCCCTGTGTATCCTTGCCCTCACACATACATGTCTACTACAGCTGCCCTGTGTATCCTAGCCCTCATACATACACGTCTACTACAGCTGCCCTGTGTATCCTTGCCCTCACACATACATGTCTACTACAGCTGCCCTGTGTATCCTTGCCCTCACACATACACGTCTACTACAGCAGCCCTGTGTATCCTTGCCCTCACACATACATGTCTACTACAGCTGCCCTGTGTATCCTAGCCCTCACACATACACGTCTACTACAGCTGCCCTGTGTATCCTTGCCCTCACACATACATGTCTACTACAGCTGCCCTGTGTATCCTTGCCCTCACACATACATGTCTACTACAGCTGCCCTGTGTATCCTTGCCCTCACACATACATGTCTACTACAGCTGCCCTGTGTAACCTAGGTAGAGAGGCTAGATCACACATGCACGTCTCTATCAATGAGGTCATATACATGTGGCTATCAGGGTACCGGGCCTGTACCGACCTACATTTATTTGGTATTTTTTTCTTAGACCGGAAATCACATTATCATACCAGAGGTGTTCACAACTTTGTTATTAAGCGAGCTAGAGACATAGGATTTGGGTTAGTAAACCTACACATGCCTGTAAGTCACATCATAATTCAACAAATGTACATGACTTTTCAAATGATATAGCTGGAAACATTGAAACAATATTTCTGTCACCAACTCCTCTCAAAGAGTGAATAGTGTTGCATGCTTCAGTCACCAATATCCCAGCTTTATTGTGCAGCCATTATATAATCAGGTCCTGGAGTGAAAACTTGATGGGTTAACGGGACAGAGGCTGCATTAGGATGAATTTATTATTGAAATTGTCTTGTTATTTCTGTTATAGTAGATCTTATTTTGGCTACAGTTTGCGGATCCTAAACTGAAAGAATTTGAGCCTGCATCAGCTGCCACTGGTACTGGTCGGGGCAACACACCCTGCTTCTGTCTGTCTCATCAGTCATCTATTTGGGTAAACCTGACTGGTGTTTAGCCTTAGCACCTGTTCACTGATCAATGTTTAATTAAGGCTTGATTGGTTTACCTACGAAAATAAACACACTGCATTCTCAAGATTGTGTCGCCTTGGCGCCTTCTCTCTAAAGGGTCTGAAAATGTTTTCCTAAATCCTGTTCTTGTGCCAAGGTCTTTAACCTTTCAAATGATTAATTTCAGAATAAAATTTGCCTTGAAACTTTCCTGGTGTCTATTTGTTCAACCGCTACTATTGGCAATCTGAAAGTAGTTGCTGGTGTGGTTAACTGTCTACTTCAATAGTTCCATCTACATTTAAACTCATTTAGCCATCTGAAAATATTCTATTCAAACTACAGCTGCTAAATAAAGTGCTTTACAAATATACATAAGTATACAAAGTACACTCATAAAACTATGGAAACAATTCACTAGAAACATCGTAATTGATCTGTGGCTGACCTATCTTACAGAACGTACATTTTCCAACATACTCCATCCCCAGCAACTAGCGGACAGTGTTTATACTCAGTTTAGATATCCAGTGTACATTTTCTGTCAAAAATACAGTATGATCATGTCCTACCAAGACAAACATTTTTTATTTCTTTTGCAAAAACCCTGAGCAAATTATTGATGACAATGTCTACCTACCTGCACCCAGTAATGGCTTCACAGGACACTGTATATCAATTAGGGCTGTCAGCCGCCTTACCTGCTTGTTACACCAGTACCAAATTGAAGGCCCTGCATCACCTGCCTATCTCACTCACCAGCTCAACACTTCCGTACAGGTAAACCGCAGTATACATGGGTCACAGGTTAACAGCAATTCACATCATCCTAATAAACATATTCCACACATGGCCTTTCCAGTATCCTGCTTGAAAATATCTGGAAGACAATCAAGCAAGAATTCTTACAAGTTGGAGACACAATGGTCACACTGTGACAGGCCACAAAAACGTGTGCTGTTACTATTTATAGTATGGGTCGAAGTAGAGGTCATTGAAAGGTGAGCATGTAGATGGGCAGGTGAGCCTATTGCTGGACAGGAGTGGGCAGCTGACCGCAAGGTATCACCACACCTCTGTTACCTGCAGGCACTACCAGGCTCTTGAGGATATGTCATGGCAACTGTAGAAGTTCTCTTGAACATGACATATTTGTAAGGCAAGAAGCACAAGCACTGCATATTGTTAATTTGTGTACGGTGTAGAAAGCAAACATATTAAAACTACAGTTTTCTGCTGAATATACAAAATAGATTTTGCCATCACTGTTTGTCTGCAAAACATAACTACACAGTAATTATTACAATTATTTGTTTGTTTGTTTGTTGTTTAACGCCACACTCAGCAATATTCCAGCTATATGACGGCAGACTGTTAATAATTGAGACAATCCGGTAATTGACATCATGAGCATTGAGCCACACAATTGGGACACGATGACCTGGATCTTCCAGACTAGTTATTTTGAAAGAAATAATTTGTCTGAAATGAAAATACAGACTGGTGCCCCGCTGTATAAACTGGTTAGTCCCTGAACAAATTAATCTATACCACGAAAAAACCCAGGTAAAAATCAGTTTCAGGAAAATAATACAATACTGATCAGAAATTCTCTGCATATGAATCAGAAAGCATCCATGTAGTAGCCAACACTTCTGTGCCAATCTGGGTTCCTTGTTGTCTTGTTGCTTACAGAAACACTACATGGATGCTTGTTACGCAAAAATGTGCTTGACAAATTTGTTTTTAAATAAAACTTTGGATTTATGACTCACTTGTATATTTTTCAACTTGTCTTTGCTATATTGCTGAAATAATGCAGATGCGATACTTGATCTAAAGTCACTCACTCACTACATGGATTCTCATATTGCTACTTTTGTTTTACAATGCTTATCAATGTCTGTGACAATTATGTAATCCACTTTCTACATATGTTTCTCCTAAATATTTCAGCAGATATGGGCAAAATAACTCTGGGAACACAGATAAGCAAATGTTGAAAAATACTGATTGTCCATAGTAGCAAGTGTAATGAGAGGAAACTGATACTTCAGCCTAAATTTCATTTTTCATCATGTATAATTTTTAGTTTTGTTCAGCCATCAGCGATTTGTGTCTGTATGGATTGAGTGTGAATCTAACCTCTATATTAAAATTCCTCTTTCATTTCCGAAACAAAAGTCTTCAGAAGATGATATATCCCCTTTCTGGTGGAATGTGGAAATGTTTGTTTGCTTTGGTTGTTTGTTGTTTAACGCCTCACTCAGAAATATTCCAGCTATAGGATGGCGGTCTGTAAATAATCAAGTCTGGACCAGACAATACAGTGATTGACATCATAAGCATTGATCTACACAATTGGGAAATGATGACATGCATCAAACAAGCCTGACCACCCAATCCCATTAGTCGCTTTTTACGACCTGCATAGTTGCCTTTAATGTCAAGTATGGGATACTGAAAACCTATTCTAACCTGGATATTCACAGGTGAATTTGGAAATGAGTTTAGCTACTTATAAACAATTATTGGTTTATTGTCATTGGATACCTTCAGTGCAGTGAAGAAAACAATAATGCTGTCAACATCCCAAATCATCAAAAGGCACCAGTTCACCACCAGACTGATCTGCATAGCAAGTTTCAACAAGAGGACAAAGTCATCAATATCCCCTGCAATGGTATATGAACCTTGTTGCTATGGAAACTCAAAAAGCTAAATTTAACATTTGAAACCTCACGCTGCGCGTTCGGTTACAAATTCAATTTAGCGGTGTTAAATCTACAGGTAACCTACCCTAGAGGAAATTTTTTTGGGATCCCAGTGGGATCCCGGTGGGATTCTCGGTGGGATTCCCGGTGGGATCCCAGTGGGATCCCAGTGGGAAATTTGGTTGGGATCCCGGTGGGATCCCGGTGGGATCCCAGTGGGATTTGCAGTGGGATCCCAGTGGGATCCCGGTGGGATCCCAGTGGGAAAATTGATTGGGATCCCAGTGGGATCCCACTGGGAAATTTGGTTGGGATCCCGGTGGGATCCCAGTGGGATCCCAGTGGGAGGGACACTTGTGTTGGATCCCACCAAGGATGCATGGTCTTGCATGGTCATGCAGAATCACATCCCACAGGTAGTCCGAACCTTAATCAAAACTTGACATGCTTACAGGAGTCCATGATATTTTGCACCAATATAGTCAGTAAATCCATATGATATTCATTCCACTGAAATGTATAACTGCATCCAGGTATATCTCATATATCAGTGACATGTAACTCGATTTTCACTGCTAATTAATTCTTGATGGATTAAATTGTACATATAGAAGACATGACTTGTAATGAATGCAAAGATAAACAAATTTTATTTCCATTTGATTTGTATTAAAAAATGATCAAACACAATGACTTTCCAACAAAATATTGATAACTAATAAAAAAAGAATTCTAATGCAAATAATAACTTTAAAAACTGTCTTGTATAAAAATCTTATATTTAATATTTTATTATCGCGTTGTTTTTAACCACCCAATCACCCGTGACATTAACTTTAGACCCAACACTCTACTCTAATCTACATTTCCCATTCTTAACCGCCCTTATTTGATCATTAAGCTTCTTGCATATGTCCACCCATGTATCCCTACAAAACATTGAATACTATAACTAATAAAAAAAGAAAATACAAATGTAATTAATAACTTTAGCAACTGTCCTGTATACAAATCTTATCTTTAATTAACATTTTATTACCTGTTTGTTTTTAACCACCCAACCACCCGGAACATTAACTTTATTCCCAGCACTCTACTCTAATCTACATTTCCCATTCTTAACTGCCCTTATTTTGTCGTTTAACTTCTTGCTAATCTCTGCCCACATCTCTTCCATCTTCATTGCTGACACCGAAAACTTCTGGAATATGTGAGCTGAAAAACAGAATTATATATATAGATGGATAATGTCATTCATTAGACAAGGCACAATAAAGCTTATAAACAAGGTATTCAGTGTTATCAAGTAGAAAATCATTGCTGTGTGATCAAAATTACAAAGAGGAAAAGTATTCCCAAAATACTGGGACGCATGTATGAAGACAAAATGACAAGAACTGCATGAATACAATACATTCCAGCCCATGAAAATGTGCAACTACATAGTTATTATTAATAGTTTATTAATGATATTACATACCTGGTAATGTGTCTACATACTTGGAGGACTTCTTTTTAATAGTTTAATTTTGCCATGCAGGTTTGTTTGTATAATATTGTGTTCAACTTACACCTGAGAGCTCGTCGGACATTCTCGTCCATTGCCCTTTTGCCTGGAGCCTCTCCCTTCACTGATAGAGTCTTGCAGTCTTCCTTGGTAATCAGCAAAGGAAGAAGGCTCAAGGCAAGCTTGACTGGGTTGGTGCTTGCTTCTTCACAAGCCCTGAGGCGCTCGGCACTAACTTTTATCCCATGCCTGGGATCACCTAGAAATGCTGTAAACCACATACTATATGAATATTTCTGTACTAACTGACAAGTCATTACTATTCTGTCATAATTATTCAATTAATGTTGATAAACTGAAACATTATTAAGTCAAAAAGGCACAAATTACTGCTTTGACACTTCAAAGGAAATTAAAATCAATACTGGAATTTTTAAAACCCCATAGAAACATGAGTAACTGATCCATAGAGAGATAAATGGACAATGAACTGGATACACACCTTGGTTTCTTTCAGATAGAGGGGGAATATCTGAAACTGAAAAGAAAATATGACTATATAATTGCCAAAGGATTAATTTCTTGTTATTTTCAGCAGAAGAAACCTCCTGAAATTGGTCACTGAAGTACTCACGGAAATGAAAAAAACCCTGTTTTTTCGATCTCAGATCTTAAATAAATGCCGTTAATATACAAAATATGTATATATTCAAACAACTAAATTAGTACTAATTGGGCCGTGGCACAAATACAGCGTATCAAATGTTTTTATGCCTTTTTACTCGTAAAAGTGTGTAAAAATGTGAATAAAACAGACTATTGTGAAACAGGGCATAACCAGGTGTAAGTAGATCAAGGTGACCTATGACACCTTGACAGGTGAGAACAGGTGCATAATGCCTATAGTCTGTTTCTGCTATGTCAATATGGACTTAGTTTTATTTTTGAATGTTGAAAGTGCCGACAAATTACCTCCTGTACAGTACATTTTGTATTGTTCAATGAGATCAAACTAGCAAATCCAGACTAGTACTTTTCGAGTTGTTTTGTTATTTCGTATTTACAGCTACGTAACACTTTGTGTCGATTTTTAAATTAAGAAAAACAGTTTTTTTCATTTCCGTGAGTACTTTAGCTACAATGACTAGTAGTTTGTGGCAACAGACAACAGAAGGAGTGAGGGTCTGATATAGAATAAGTGCTTCAGCATTCTTGCATGCCAGTCCTTTTTGCCCATGTTTACAGGATGTGTAATTCTACACAGAACTTGCCCAAAAAAAAGTCAAAGTCTTAAAGTAAAAATAGGTCACCACACAGTGGAGATGAGAAACAGTTGAGAAACAGACCTGGTCAGTTGAAGCAGGCTTGTCATGCACAATTGACCTAGTTTCTGGGCATAACCATGGAGATGCAGGGGTGTTCGGGTGAATGTTTTTATTTCAGAAGCTGGAAACATGGTTCAAGCATGTTTCCACATCATTTGAAAAAGAAGGAAGAAATGCAGTGCACTGAGAACTGATCTAATGAAACTGTATTCGCAAAATGGTTTTTTCTGGAGATGTGCTTTAGTTCAGTATTTTCTTCTCTGGAAAGAGCACATATGTATATAACAGCTAGGTGTAAATGTCTTTTGTGCAATGAACCAGTCATGACAGATGAGTAAAATATATATATCAGGTAGAAACTGACATTTTTAGTCATGTCCTTATAATGATAAAGAAATAGCAAAACCCTTTAAAAGGGCAAATTTCTACTAGTGCCTATGATACCTTAACTATTGGGCAGTTTGGCAAGGACTACAGGACTAGTGCCAATTTCTAACGCTGTTAACATACCGTACATGACCGCGTATAAGCCGAATTTTGAGGACCAGATAAAAAAGATTCTGTAGAAAGGGGTCGGCTTATCCACGGGATACACTTTCATGATAGTATTTTTCAGATTATGATCTGTCCGAAACATCGCCTTAATGACGGTCCGATAGATCACAACTTCCCGAAAGTTTGGAAGTTGCCACGACTAGAGCTATTATTGTTATAAATTATCAATAAAGTTATTATTATACACAAATGTTGTCATTATTAAAAAAATGTTATGCATGTTACTACTTCCGATAATAAGTTTTCAATGGAATGTTCAAAGTTTATCGTACATCAACAACACAATGTATTGTTCTTGTATATGTACCTGGCTCAACTGTGGAGATAATATCTTCTGCCAAGTCTGATATATCCTCAAGGACTTGAGGCTGCCCTTGACTGACCCATGATGACGATGATGGTTGTGGTTTTGGTGGTTGTGGTGGTGGTGGCGGAGATGGCAGCGATGGCAGTGATGTGGGAGAAGCCAGCAAAAGGCTTTTTCTTGCCTCTGGTGACTGAAGGGAACAAGGCTTTCCACTACCATTGTCCTTCAGATTCTTATTGAAAAATGAGTAAGAGTTCAACATAATACTTAGAAAAAAAACATGGAAACGAAGCCAAGCTACACACACATATATATTGTACTATTATTAGCATTTATTTTCTAAAACAGAAGAAATGACATGTTTTGACCAAATACTTAAGAGGAAGAAAAGAGCAGAAGAGGAGTTTGTATTTGAACATAAATATATATAGCTGTATTGACACCATGAAGACCACCATCAAAGTTTTCTCCACATTTGACCTTGAACAGATGCATGGACATATTTTTTCAAAATGCAGAGATAGTTCAAGGGGGGGCCTTGTGCTTTTAGGCACTAAATTTGAAGAAAATGACCACATTTTCAAATACAATGGGGCATTTTAACATTGTGCTGTATGAGCGCACCTCTGGATTATTTGAAATTTTCACATAAAGGGCCCATGTCAGAAAATTCCTGGAGTGAACCCTGAATATAAAATAATATTTCTAACATCACTGTAATTTAAAATCTCACCCGATATACACCCTTTACGCAAGCTCTGCAGGACTTGAAGTTATCAATCTGGGCCTGCATGTCCCTCAACATCTCCTGGTCTTGTTGGCGTAAAAACAAAAGTTGTGACATTTTGTCATCCATTTTGTTAAGCTGAAAATGAGAACTATATGTTACACCAAGTTGTTTCAATGAGTGAGTGAGTGAGTCAGTGAACTTGAGTTAAACGGCACTTTCAACAGTATTTTAGTCATATCATAATGGTCAGTTTAAATAAGTTTAAATTAGTGCAGGAGGAAAGTCTGCAACCCTCAGGTTATGTTTTGTAAGTTAACTTCCCCCCCCCAACCCCAGTCATTTGATAAACATTGTTAAGAATAAATTGTGTGTGTTTATGCTGCATTTTCTCTACTTACTTGCAAAATATCTGTCGACGCTCGATTTATATACAGAAATTTTATTGGACTATGCATAGACTCGTTAGTCCAGCCAAATTATAGCTCCATAATTCCAACCTAGATCAGCAAGGGTGGAAGCTGGACTTTTACAGTCAGTTAGTTCCCTTGCCTCAGGAAGATGCTTACAAACTGATCACACAGATAACACTTAAGTAAAACTAATGTACATCACCTTTTGTACATCCTTATACAATACTAAAACCTTAAATCATGTTCTAAATCAATCTGAAACTTATGAATTATAACAAGTGGTTATACTTAATTATACCCGATATGAATGTATATCGTGGGTAGTGACATCAGCTAAAATGTCATAAGTGTGTGATTTGACTGTGCGTCTATACTGTTAACTTGGTTAATTATTGTATGGTTAATTCAGTCACCTTCTCATGAAGTTGTTCTACGGAATCTGGCAGTCCAGGGCCTATCACAGCCAGTGACTGCAGTCTGTTGCCTGAATCACGGGCATCTGTCGCCTTCTTCTTTTTCTTGGCCTGATCTTTTTTTGCCTCTTGAGCCTGTGGGCCAATGATAATTATAAGAATTTTCAAAACGTACATCTACCACAACCACTGCAATATATACACCCAATCTGATGATATCCAACATTTAGCAAATCATTTAGCTATTAATTATCTGAATTTTACAAAAACAATTATTTGTAACTCAGACAATTTTGCAGAAATAAACTAAGAACAGGGAGGGAATTGTAACTCATTACAGTAGCAAAAGCGGTTATAAATAGTGTGTTTTATCTGAAAAGTAGTTAAGTAATCAAAATCTTACCTCTTTATCTTTTTGTTTCTCCTGTACATCTATTTTCCTTTTCTTCGGAACGGGCTGAACAGGATAATCTGCAAATTCAGGTTTCTATTTCATTTCAATTGATCTATAAGTTACAATGTTAGAAAAAGTACAACAAAATATCAGTGTTTGTTAACTGTACATCATTTCCAATAATAATTCAAGCAATCAACGTATATATTCTGAGTTTGTGTGTATATCAATATCCACTTCGATTCTACTGTCATACTACAACCACACCCACAATTCTCATAAGATTGTTGCTTCCAATATGCAAATTTGAAAATTATGCATATTTGCTGACAACCTACAAAAACTTTAATGTAGACAAGGTAGCTAGGTTACAGTGTTGGTGGCCATGATGGTTTTCCCCCGTTATTTATTACACTGATCATTCCTTCTACATATAGTGAGTGAGTGAGTACGGTTTTACGCCGCTTTTAGCAATATTCCAGCAATATCACGGCAGGGGGCCCCAGAAATGGGCTTCACACATTGTACCCACGTCAGGAATCGACCCCTGGTCTTCGTTGTGACGAGCGAATGCTTTAACCACTAGGCCACCCGACCGCCCTTCTAAGAAAAAGGTCATGTGTATTTTTACCATACCATTGTTCCCAGCAACTTCAAGTTGAATCTCATCCCTTTCTTGCAGGTCGCTTTGGTTTTCTTCAGATGAACCTGTATTTATCTAGGGATGAAATAATATCACGAGGTTATGCTGCACTTTAGCTATAAAACATTTATCATATTCAATCTAACCATCCCACCAGTAATAAATACACTTGACAATGTCAAAAAAATATTTTCACAACTACACCATCTCTATATGAGGTCAGAGTTTTTAACCAGATCAAAGCAGTCCTTACTCTACCAAATATGAAACACATCCACCTTCACTCATGACTCGTGACACACAGACTGCCATAATCACATGAACATGCTAAATGTCTCGCTTCAAAAATAAAAGACATCAAAGGGATTTATGATGCCCATGCATGGCTGACAATCTGGGAATTTGTTCCAATATCAGGACATTTTCAGATTACTCTGTGGGTCCTTTTATCAAATAAAACTGTAGAAATATTAATGTTATATCTTCATGAAAACTAGTCAACACTTTAAATATTGGAATATTTCTTGAATATTTGATAATGGAGAGTTTAATCACAATTTTTCTCAGATTAGAACTGAATTCCAATCTCTATATATAATCATTACATATATATCATCTACTTAGAAAATCTCATCAAGTGTTGATATATTTGCTATCAAAAGACACAAGAGTGAGATTCTATTTATCATCCAACATCACTCTTCCATTTTTTTCAGTTTGCAGACTGTAAAAAGCAGTTAGTGTCTTAGTTTAAAAAGTACTGCTAACAGCTTCAGTAGCAGAGCCATTAGTGATGTCATTTCATTGTGACATCATGGTAACCAATGACATCACAATAGTCTGCAAAGCATTGTGATGCAATTTCATTGCAGCAGTATCTACAATGTACCGTTTTTAAACGCTTGATCTCACCCAAGCATATATCTGCTGTGGGAGCCAGTTTGGGATAATAAATGACTGACTACAGCTAAATAAAGTCTTGCATCATCTATTACCTTTGGATGTGCTGGGGGTATATCGTTCACAATCCTCTGTACTAATTGAGGAAATTTGTCTTCTGCAAGAAGCTGTTGCAGGTTTTTCTTCGAATCTATAAAAGTGATAAAACATATCAGTAAGTTTGCACCCTTAATTTATTAGCATTTTCTTCAATGTTGTATATCTATGGTTTGAAACATTCTGTATTTTGGGATATGATCCATTTAGTGGTCTCTGATAAGAGATGTTTTGTTCTGACTTTCCAAACCATAACTAGTTATTGTCATAAATGTGTTAAAGTAAAAAAATGAAAGTTATTTTCTTCATCATATCAACATGTAAAATTTGATTTTTTTAATTTACTTTAAATATGTACTGGCTAGCGATCAGTTATCGCCAAGGACACCTATATTTCCCCAAGTGAGTCATCACCTGTAGATCAAATGTGGTGAATATTTTTGTTGTTGTCAGTTCGCAGACGACAAATTGGTAATAGTATTTCTTATTTATTTTGCTGTATAATAAAATTCAGAGTCATACCAGTGATAAAATATGTAATTTGTATAACTGGTGTAGTGTAGTGAGTCGACTGAAAATGTTTATATTCACTGTTTTGATTCCCTTTTGTAGCGTTATTACAGAACTCAAATGAATCTTTTTCAACACACAGAAATAAGCGCATATGCTCATAATTTCACAAAAATAAAAATTAATGGTACAGTCTACTTTGTACACGTAATGTCAGACATAACATGAAAGAAGGGTGATAATTGGTGGTTGACCAGTAGGAGTTGGGGATTAGGAATCAACAAGTTCATTTTGTCAATTACAGCAGCTAACAATCACTACACCAGTAATCCAGTGACCGTGATTTGTAGGCCTATTCAACATGGTTTAATTGTGACAAATCGTCCATTGCCAATTATAATTTTAGGCACTGACACTGACAGTCTGGACATGACATTTAAAGAAATACTTTAACAATTATTATCTTATTTACTACTACATAAATATTTCTAATTGTTATTAAAAATAGAGGTGGCAGTTTCGCCGAGAAATCGGTGACGTTTTGCGGAGGTGCCGTTTTAGCCTGCACCCATGTGCTGTCATCGAAGACCCAACGAGAGCTAGCGATACGGTTACTTTGATGAATAAATATGTTTCTATGAACCTCACTGTCGCAGTTTTAGTAGTATATCTATATAATTATGCAAAACAATGTGTAGAGCGCCCCCAAATACTTGCATTTGTCCGTTCTGTTCTGATTTCTGTAAAAAGCGCGTTTGTTTACAAACAAGAGAAAAGTAAGGTCACGTGATATGCAAACTAGCCTGTGGCAGTGGTGTTATGCTGAGTCACCACTGGGGCGGAGTGTGGTGTGCTGTGTGTTTACATTTGAATCGGAAGTGTTTATGTAATGTCGCTTCCAACAAGAAAATATATTTCCCTCATGCACACAAAACAAGATGGCATTTGCTACTGGACTCATTTTACAGCGAACCTGAACACATGCATTATACCGGACACCCATCCACCATCTTTGTTTGATGTTACTAATAAAGTGACACACACGGACGGGATCACTATTTGGGAAATAGGGCGATAAATTTTAAAATGAGCCGACAAATTAACCCGCTGATTTAATATGATCCAATTGAATATCAAAGCGAAGCATAAACTTCGAAATTTGGACATCATATTACTCGAAAAAGAAGTTCTATAGGTGTGCCACAACCTCATCATTGTCAAGCTGGGGACATCCGTCAGAGACACATTTCAGCGAACACGTTGTATTTTGTATCTATTGTGGTAATTAAACATTACGTTACATTTAGTATTTGATTCAAGCCATTCAATGGGGCGACAAGCCCGGGCGCCGCTTCCAAAAACCCGTTATTTTAGCGAGGCGACAAAAATGGCGTCTGAAAAACTCAGAAATCGTTAGGGCCTACCAGCCTTAGGAATGAGATCGAGCACACCCTTACCAAAACGGTGGAAGTTGTCTGGTATCCTGCATTCTTGCCGAACCTGACCCCCAATATTCACACGTTACAATGTCAAGTAGACCTAACTACAAATGATTGAAGATAGTTACAAATTAAATTAATATTCAGATAGGCTACTCGCCACCGTCTCCAACTCACCTCCAATGGCGCCAATCATTCCTTGGAAGGTTCCAAGACCGGGGCATCTGGCATCCACGGTCTGTCCGACAGCATACTCGTAATAGGGTCTCCTTGGTGAAACGATATTTCTAATACTGACCACATTTCCGGTAACGGGATGGTCTTTTATCCAGATTACAAGAATAAAATTGTTTTCTTTACAAGTATCAGCCATGTCGCGGATTCACGAGGATGGAACTTTGGCGCTTCTCGTTAAAATCTCGTTTCCATGCTATTAATAGACTCTCGTTCCAAGTATGGCCCCGATATGTGTTCGAAGCCAAAGTGTTGTCTTTAGACAAATGAAGCGGACAGTTTCATACGTGAGTTCTATGTTATTAAAATAGATCTACAATGTGAACCGTATATCTGTATTTGAATTGCGAGTTTATCTCTAAGAAGATGAAACATATGAGAATATAAAACATTGCCAACTATATCTAACTACACCAGTGCCGGGTTGAAAGAAAATGTCTCGAAAAGTGTGTAAAATAGCGAAGGGCCAAGAAAGAGCGACCAGGGGAGGCGTTAAATATTTCTAAATCGGTACTATATGCTACCTATTCCTCTTCCCGTACGGTAATTCGCGACATGGATTCTTCGAATCTTTCTTCGAGTGACTCAGATACATCGAGGGAATGGACAGATTTCATAACACCCAAAAAGCGTAGATGTAAGTCGACCGTCCATGGTTTAAACCGCAGACGCGCAGAATATTACCGGTCAAAGTCTCAATTGAAGTTTCCCATCCAAGGTGAAGTAGGTGGCCAGAAACGGATGAGACAACTGTGCGACTTCGGTGAGGCGGTTCCACAATTTGCGCAAGGCACCATGGACATAGGTGACAATACCCATCATGAACATGAATCTTCAATAAATGTATCTGTCGGTAACACTAACAGTGACATATCCAGTGATGTATCAAGTGACTCACTATCGTTATCGACCTCGTCATTGCCCTCTAGTTCCAGCGAACAATTGTCTTCTGACGATGACGCATTTTCAGAAGATTTTGAAGCAAATAAAGAGTATCAAAATGAAACACTTAAGGATGAATCACGTGAATTTCCAATTTTTGAAGGATGTCCCCATTCAAAAACATCACTGTATACAATGTTGATGTTGTATGCAATAAAACACTCCTTATCCAAAGAAGCATTTTCCGATCTGATCTTGTTGGTCAAGTCACTGTTTCCACCCACATGTACACTGAAAATGTCTGTTTACAAAATCAAGGATCAGCTCAGAAAATCTGTGGAATCTAAGCAACCCACAGTACATTTCTACTGTGAGACCTGCCAGATCGAAATTCCAGCAGGTGAAAACAGATGTCAACACTGTGACGAATCTTCTGTGTTGGAATATCACAATTTAGACGTTGAACAACAGATAAAAGACTTGTTCAAAGGTTTGTAATCAGATTATCATAAAGTAATAACTCTACTTTACATGGTCTAGAATCTAATTGTGCCTTCCAAAGAAATATTTTCGTCAATACGTAATTTGCAATATTTTCTAGAATTCGGATTTAAATAGTCGAGTGTTCTCATTTGTCTCTCAGTGTAATACATAAACACAGTACTTCTATGTAGCTTGAAGGATATATACCAGGTACATGAATTATATATTTATGATATATGGATTCTTTTTCTTTGTTCAGATGAGCACTTCTGCAAGTTAGTAATGAAGGAGACGGAATCATCAAAGGATGGACAATTGGCAGATATAAGGGATGGATCGGAGTACAGGAAGCTTCTATGTGACCAGTCGGACTTTCAGCCTTCCAACACAGTTCAGCTTTCTTTTCTGTTGAATACTGGTAATTGTTAAACTCTTTTCAAACAATAATGTTCTTGAGAAGTGCATTCCCACAATGTGCTTATAGTTTCCGATATAATTATACAACCAATCAGATAACAGGGAATTATTCAGTGCTCTAGATTTGATAACTTGATGAGTGACATCAGCCAATACATATTTAAAGGAAGAAAAATGGCTGTTTGTACTTGAAGCAATTTCAAATCTTGGCCATTGAACACTTGTTTTAAAAAAAATGATATGTGCATAATTCAATTCTGTTTCCTGTATAGATGGGGTTGCTGTGTATTCCTCATCAAAGAAAGGCAGCTTGTGGCCAGTCTATCTGGCGATAAATGAACTTCCAATAGCTTTGAGGTATGTTTGTTAGACCATAGTTCAGCTCTTACTTGTGCCATATCGTTTGGCAAATTTATGTGGTTTATGGTGCAGGTATTTTAATTATGTACAAATGAAAGAATATAAACAATATTTTATCACTTGCCTATGTAATGACTGTGATAAAGGCACTTCATGTTTTTTTTCAAATGTAGCAATTGCCATTTCAAGTTTAATTTACAAATATTTCAGGTTTTCAAGGAGGTACCTACTGCCATGCCTGTTGTTTTGCCAATCAGAGAAACCAAACATGCAGACTTATTTGGCAAGTCTAATGCAGACACTCGATCGTTTTCAAAAGGGTATGTTCTGTGCACTAAATCATTCTCATACAAGCATGCAACCATTATTTTGTGTATATAATTATTAACCTAATGGTTATGATGACCTAATGTTGGACACACTTAAACTTTCAGTGTATATATCATGTCCAATGTGAAAGAATGAACTATATTATTTCATAACTAAGTCCAAATTTTGTTTCAGGAATTGAAATTGACACCTTTTTGGGAAAGAAATTTGTCAAAGGACTCCTACTAGCCGTATGTGTTGATTTGCCAGCCAGAGCCATGGTCTTAAACATGAAACAGTTTAATGGCAAATATGGATGCAATGTTTGTCATGCAGAGGGAGAGACTCAGCCAAATTGCCCACTTCACAGGTATTATCCAGTTGGAGAAAGCTCACAAAGAACTCACAAGTCCATGGTGAATGATGTTCGCACAGCTGTTCAAAGTGGACAAGCTGTAAGTATTTATTATATTTATGTAGTTTGTAAATAAATATTAGATATTAAAAGACACAAGGGTGAGATTCTATTGATACTACATCATTCCTCCACCTTTTTCAGTTTGGTTGACAGTAATAAGCAGTGTCTAAGTGTAAAAAGGTAGAAGCTAACAGCTTCAGAAGCAGAGCCATTTGCAATGTCATTTCACTGTGACATCATGGTAACCAATGACATCACAATGGTATTCAAAGCATTGTGATGCAATTTCATTGCAGCAATATCTACAATGTAGAAGCCATATTTACAATGTAGATATTGCATGATCTCACCCAAGCGACATGTCCTGTGGGCGCCAGTTTTAGATTTGTATATATATTTATGGTCTACTTTTGTCCAGTACATGTCAGACTTGCAAATAAATGATTTTCATTTATTTTTATGTTTAGGTAAGAGGAATGAAAGGTGGCTCTGCCCTCCTTGCCTTAAAGCATGTTGACTTATCCAAGATTTGTCCAATCGACTGGATGCACTGTGTGCTCCTTGGAGTAGTGAAGGCTTTGCTGAAACTTTGGCTGTGTCCTTCACACAAGAACAGATCCTTTTATATTGGAGATAAGGTACAATGTTTCTTTTCACTCATGTCTTTCTCCAAGGGCAAACTTCGTTCATAGTGTAATTTAAATAATTGTACAATTGTGTAATTTTGATGAACTTGTTCTTAAGGGTGAAACGATACATCGGTACACCGGTGCTTTCAAGTGACAATACAATACACCATGTTATTTTCTGTCTTGATTCACTTACTAATCATTAAATGACATCAGCATTTTTGTCAGTCAAATATCGCAAAATTAGCATTTCAATGATACATATCGTATCGTGACCTTGCTGTATCGTTTCACCCCTACTTGTTTTGATGCTAAGTAATACCCGTGCTGTCTTGAAAACAACTTTGTAAGCCTCATCATCTGTGTTAACAAGGTTCGTGTGTTGTTCCAGATTGCACTGATGGATAGGAGGCTCCTACACATCCAAGTGCCGGATTTCATAGCCCGACAACCAAGCAGCATAGCTGAGCATGCTCACTGGAAAGGTCAGCTGTAGCATTTTACATCAGCCTGTATCTTCAAATATACTGTGGGTGGTGGGGTAGCCTAGTGGTTAAAGCGTTCGCTCGTTACGCTGAAGACCCGGGTTCGATTCCCGATATGGGTACAATGTTTGAAGCCCATTTCTGGTGTCCCCCGCCGTGATATTGCTGGAATATTGCTAAAAGCGACGTAAAATCAAACTCACTCACTCACTAAAATATACTGTCATATAAAGTTGTCCCAGCAATAGTTGGGACGGTTCACAAGATATTTGTGGATCCCATAATGCATCTTTGCTTTGGTTGATGTGCGTATGTCCATGCATATGTATCAATTGTGGATTTCATGTTTCAGCTACTGAGTGCCGGGAATGGCTGATACACTTCTCAATTCCTGTGCTTAGGGGTCTGTTGAAATATCCAGTCAGTGTCCACTACTTCTTGCTTGTGTATGCAATGAGCTTGTTAACAAAGGAAGTTGTAACAGTGGAAGACATCAGTGTTGCCGAAGACATGTTGACAGACTTCTGTACTGTGTTTCCTGACATATATGGCGAGTTAGTTATGTTGCTTAGCTTGATTGCAAATCACTTCCAAAGTAAAATTATGGAAATCTGCATAATATGACATTTTTAGAAACAATTTAAGTAAGAATAGAAATTTGTAAAGATGAATAATTCTGTATAGCACTTTTGAAGTTGGCAAAATGTGATGTCAAATAATATTAGGATATATAATTACATTCATATTGAAATGTATGTACAAACTGTAAATTTCAAGATGGGTGGCCCAGTGGTCTAAGGCGCTGCAAATTGCAGAATTGCGTCCCGTGGGCACGCCTGAAACCTATGATTGTGGGTTCCAATACTGCTACACCCCAATTATGTTTCTAGGTTTGTCAGCACCATACCCATGCTCGTGGGTTTCACCGAAGTGGTAACGACTCAGATGTGCATTACTTCGGGCTTTCCTCCCACTTTAAGCTGAAACCCTGTGATATGACTGGAATACTGTTAAAAGCGGCATAAAACTCACTCACTCAAGATGGGGTTAGGATGAATTCAATGATATTTATGTTATGTTTCCTTTTCAATTTAGGTATTGCCAAACAGAGCATGAACATACACATGCTGACCCACCTTCCTCACTTTGTTCGGCTGTTTGGGCCACTGTGGAACTTTTCATGTTTTGGTTTCGAGTCAATGAATGCACACTTGAAAAGTATGATACACGGAACAAGACACATCAATCATCAGGTACTCACTCGAAGATTCTGTACGCTGCTTGTTGCTGATTGATCTTTATTAGATCAACCTTAATAAATAATGGTTTGTTTGTTTTTAAAGAAAACAGATATAACTTTAACATAAAAAGGAACTTTTTAAATTGTACTACAGTATAGATTTCATTGATTCTAATTAAATATTATTTATTATAGCTAAAATGGATAGAATTATGATTAAAGCGCCTGCATGTTATCAGGAATGATCGGGCCACTGTAACTTGATAATGCCCTCATATTACTTGACGACAGGCCATTATCACGTTAGGTGACGTCATAGGATAGGGATACGTGTAGTCATGTTCAATAGTGACGTCATCTGGTTTCTTCTATGATGTTTCTATATTTGTAAAAGTGGGTCAGTGACATTCGTGTTGATAACAGTAAATGTTTCAAAACTGATATTGTTGTCTTTTTTTACTTGATAACAAATTCCTTCCATCTTAGCTATGATAATGTTATTGCTATTTTTCAGGGCATTATCATTTGCAGAAGCCCTCTGTCTTTTCAACTGCCCTCCTTCGTCAGTACAGTTAATGGAAGACCTCTGGCTTCTGCAAATGATAATGCCCTGAAAAACAGAGTAACCCTTATAACATACATGCAATGATGTAAAACATGGTATAAAGATAAATATATTTACTTTTCAAGATCTCCTGTGCCATATCTATGACACGTTCACTTCCTGGCTTGGTGAAAAATATTATTAAAAGAACAGAGAGTGATGACACAAAAAGGCTTGCCAAGCTTCTGTCCAGCAAGATTACCATGTAGGTAAAATTATCAATATGACTATGCATGGTTATTTTTCGATTATTGGTAGAGCTCTTCAAATTGAAGTACAATTTATTGTTTCTTGTCTCTATTTGTTACATTCATCACTAACAACTTCTTAATGTTCTTACTTCATGTACTTTGTAAGAACAAATTTTGTTTCTGATTACTATACCAAGATATTTCTGGCCTTTCAGAAATTCTAATATATGACATATATATGTATATTTTCAATGTAATATTTTTACATTTTTGCTGTTAATGCAGGGGCGAAAAGGATGATGAAAAACAGGATGCTCAGGTACTGGGAAAGAGGAGACAACTGAAGGCAGATGACCCAACTGTAGAGCAATTCCAGTTACATGGCTTGGTTCACAAATTCTTCCGCTGTGCAACTGACAAAGGTCATCGTCTATGGAGTGCAGAATACCAGCGTTGCAAAATCAGAAATTCGTACACAATTTCCTTCATCTACAATGACGCAACCCGTTATGGTTCAATTCTGTACTTCATAGATAATGAAGACAAATTGTTTGCAGTTGTTAAGCTGTTTAATGTCTCTACATTAGGACCTGATGGAGATTTTAGCCTTGTGTCTGACAGACTGCAAAAATATCGTGGTATGATCTTCAAACACATCATTTTGGTAACAGATTCAAAAGAAGAAATACTTCTTCCAGTTGATCATATCCACAAGAAATGTATTCAAATTAGCATTAACAATGTGATGTACATTGCAATTCCACCAAACCAGTTTGAGCACAACTAAGACATTTTGGTTGGAGCCTTTCTTTAGGACTAGTGGACTTAAACTTAGTTTCTAACGCTGTATACAGGTTGTTGAAAGGAATGTCCATCATGTCAGTCACAAAAGCAAATTAGTCTTTTGCACTAATGATAGCCAGAATTTAGCTACAAATATGAATAACAGCACAAATGTTTTAAAATGTATCATAAATGAACATTTTGAAAGAAGGTGACATTGTGACGTTTATTCAGATGCAATGCAAGTGTATGAACATGATGAACAGGTAATTCATAACACAGCTATGACACCCTCTAGATATCAACCATATTTGGTTGCAAGCAACTTAATTTGTATATAAACACTTTGCCTTTGTTTTCATATATGTTTTATTCCGAATAGTCATGTGAAGTTATAATTATCCTGTGATGTACCGCAGCTTTTCCCTTTAACCATTACTACAGCATAGTGACCAAAGTTATTTCCCATTGGATGTTAATTTCTAAAATTTATTTGGTTGACTAGTCCAGAATGGCTGATTAGATTTGTACTAAGTTTAGTACCAAAATATGTCCAAGCAAACTTTATTTTTTAGCAAAGGTGTGACCCCTTGCCTAATTTGGCCAAGAAAACTTGGTGGTGTATAAACAAAGTGGGTGGGGCTTAATAGCTGATTTACAAGTAAATTCTAGAAGTTGTCTTGCCATACAGATGGGGTGATTTTCAATTTTAAAAAAAATCGTCATTGTATAGATGGAGTTGGGCCCAATGGGAGAAATTTAGTTCTAAATTGGAATCAATATATACATATACTTGACATCATGTTACCAAAATATGCCTTTGAGTCTATTGCAACCCGAATGGACTTTGGGTCATAATTACTTAAAATATCGTCGAAATCCCTATGCTATCTATATACCCATGCTCATGTTCATTACACAATACATCCATGCTAAAATGCAGGACTGGCCCTTCTGTTCATCTGTTCAGCACTCCCAATGGAGTTAGAACCTTGACGGACTTCCAAACAGAATTTATGCCCACCCAAAAATAAACCGTTATATTGTATACATTTGTTTGTTAGGAAGTGAATAATACAACTATGCCAATAGGATTCACCCCGGGGACCAGACTTGCCTCTGGAAAATTAGATCCTGGATCATAACATGGAAATGGTTCAGATATATATGCTATATTTGTATCTAGAGAAGTACACGTTCATGCTGTCAGATTTGCCAAAATTACGAATTATTTGCAGTAGTATATATACATGTACAATGCAAATGTATATTTTGTCATGATTGTGTAAATATATAGGTGAGCAATACAGGCCATATGGGCCTCTTGTTAATTATGTACCAGTAAATATTTTAAAGATAAAAAGCACATGAAACAAACTAAGAGAAGCAAGCTGTATGTAGTTAGTGGGCAGTACTTCTTGATGCTTTCTATTTCAAGAAGTGAAAGTTCACTCAATTGTTACAATACATTGATGTTTTCCTCTGTAATAACATGTAAATAACAAATCTATGTTTTCTTCTGTAAATACATGGAAATAATAACAATGTAAATTCCTGATTGTTTGTGTTTTGTGATCTGAAATTGCCATGGCAATATGATTTTTTCAACTACCTGTACTGATATACCATGCAAATGCATCTAAGCTGTTAGGAAATAATTTATGTTTTCATTACTTACAGAATGCTATATTCGTTTACAACTTAATTAGGTTCGTTGCGAACACATGCATGACGTCAAGCGCAAATTTGACTTTCATCGGCAAATAAAAGATTTCATAAAATTCAATTATATTTACTTTTACATCTATTTCTTTTATTTTTTTATTATTTACCTAATGAGAAACTTGTTTTAAAAAGAAATATATATAGTATCTGTCATCACCCATTTCCCGATCATAACGGCTGTCCGCTCAGTAACATGAAGAAATACATCCGTCTTCGAAGTTTTGTGTGAATAACCGTTCGTCGAAATCTGCCATGTGCATGAACAGGAAGTCGTCTACATCGACTGGAGTCCTTTCGTAGCAGTAACATGATATTTGATTGGATAAAAATCGGTTTCTAATGACGCTTTCTTGCCGAAATCTGCTACAAAGTTCGTGATTGGTCAAATTTGAGCACGTGACCTAGGGCAGCCAATCAAATTACTGCTGTGGTAGCTTTCCTCGTGCAATTTCATGTTTAGACGTAAGGTTTTTGTTACATCGTTTACATTATAAACGTTTTAAGCAGGAAATTGCTATCTATTGTTTAAATATGGAACTTCGTGCTAGTATACGAGCTGTGACAAAGATTTCTCATGCATATATGTTTGCATCAATCATTGTGTCCGAGCAGAGAAATCGAAGCGACGAAAGCAGAGATGTCATTTGACTAACATTACACGCGATCGCACGAAAACATGGAAATAATAAAATGTAATGACAATTTTTGACAATTTTTGTTGTTAATTTTATTTATTAATTTGTATAATATATTTAAAGATTTGCGTGCAACGTCTTATTTGTCCACTTTGACATGTTCGATGTTGTCAAAGTTTGCATGTGTCCGAGAATTTTATTTACAACATTGCGAGAAATAGTGAATATTTTTTTAATCTAGATCTATCTATAGAAAATGATAAATTGAAATTGAATACGTATTCCAGACATAGTAAAATGTGATAGATTAAATACAAGAATGATATGGCAGATAGGTTCATAAATTTATAAACTATTTTGACGTGACTATACGGCTTTGCAGATGTACCGGCCTACGTTGTTGAAAGAGCTTATTAATTCTATGCTTGTCGTCGGACTAGCGGACTTGTGTTATTTTAAACCCTGCATCTCTTAATTATAATTAGGTTTTCTGCTCTTAAAGCATAATTTGCAACAAGAATGTTTTGATTTTGTGCAGATATTTACTTTGCTACATACTTTAGATATATGCATATATGCTTCTTGTAGGAATAGCCCACTGGGATAACTTTTAAATGATAATTAATATATACATATATATCCCACTGAGATTACCATATCCCAGTGGGATCCCACCGGGATGGAAATCCCACTGGGATCCCAGTGGGATCCCACTGGGATAGAAATCCCACCGGGATCCCACCGGGATCCCACTGGGATTTGCCATCCCACTGGGATCCCACCGGGATCCCACTATTATTTTCACTTGGGTAGCTCTACATTAATACACAGTATGTTTATCTCCTAAATATTCAACGATTTTGGAATTCATGCTCCAAGCACTACCATAACTGATGTAATCAGCGCCCCATTCTTTTAAACGCCCACGGCGATATTTGCATATATATAAGTGAACATTCACAATAAGCGCCCCTTCCGGCTGATCAATGTACACAAAACATATTTATTCATGTATAATACACACTTGTGTATACTACACATCTGTAATTATGGCCAATTAAATCCTGAAAAAATATATCTCTCATGTATGATACGCCCAGACTTTTCTGTAGTAACATTTCAGGCTGTCAGTATATATATATATTACTGTCATGATCTGTCATCGGAAATAGGATGCCAATAAATCTGCATTGATTTATGCAAGTTACTCCTTTAGTTACACCACTTAAGTGTTCATTGTATATCTGAACTTATGTTTGTACTCTGTTAAAGTAATTTTATTCAAAATTTCAATCAATAATGTTTACATTATTACATTAATTTTGGCGAAATCGTGTGTCTCTCTGATACTTACAGCCTGTGTTTACCCCGTTCTATAGTGCCCGCTTTACCACATACCGCGACAGCACCAACTCATATTACTGCAACAATGATCATATTTTCTTCTGTTTCAGTTTTGACGAGTCTACTCATCAGTTAACTTTCAATGAGAAAATATCTCAAAACATGAACAACTATTTCCATATGGGTAGTTTTCATGGAAGCCATACTGAGAGGTAGCAATACACATTGCTTTGATGTTTAAATGTATTGTCGTGCGTCTCACAGTTGCAATTTTTGTAGAATATTTATATAATTATGCAAAATAATATGTAAAGCGCCACTTTGTTCTGATTTCAGCATTTGTTTAAAAATGAGTGAAAAGTCTGGTCACATGATATGCAAATTAGCCTGTGGCAGTGATGTTATGTGAAGTTATGTTACTTCTAAAAATGATGATTAATTAAAAACTAGATGTAATTGTTGGGATCTTGCATATATTTTCTTAAAAAAAGTGTTTATAAATTAATTTCAGGTAGGGAGTTGTAGTATTTTCATTCAATAGCTGGATATATGGATTCTTTAACTGGTGACATAGCTGACATACCGTAATAACAACAAACACATTTGGATTAATAATAAATATTTTATTTCAGTTGACAGTGCTAATTATCCAATAACACATACACTTGTTTTTACATATTTGCACTGGAATAAGTAAGTGTTTGAACATAGGATACACAAGGATATATCTACGTAACTTAGTAACATTAATTGCATCATAATTCGAGCCACTAATAACAAAAATCACATACAGTTTTCAGTGTTTGCAGACAAATTTATGTCCATTAATAAGCAAAATCTCATCACACTCAAAACATTTTCATTGCTTCTGGACCAGGAAAGATTTTCTCTCATAGGTAAAAATTTCCAGGATAACCCTGCTGTGTAAAGAATGATCCAGGCTAATGTGATGAAGGATTTCTGTGTGAAGATAGATTGCTGTGTAAAGAATGATCCAGGCTAATGTGATGAAGGATCTCTGTGTGAAGATAGATTTCAGTTTAAAGAATGATCCAGGTTAATGTGATGAAGGATTTCTGTGTGAAGATAGGTTGCTGTGTAAAGAATGATCCAGGCTAATGTGATGAAGGATCTCTCTGTGAAGATAGATCGCTGTGTAAAGAATGATCCAGGCTAATGTGATGAAGGATCTCTGTGTGAAGATAGATTGCTGTGTAAAGAATGATCCAGGCTAATGTGATGAAGGATCTCTGTGTGAAGATAGATTGCTGTGTAAAGAATGATCCAAGCTAATGTGATGAAGGATCTCTGTGTGAAGATAGATTGCTGTGTAAAGAATGATCCAGGCTAATGTGATGAAGGATTTCTGTGTGAAGATAGATTGCTGTGGAAAGAATGATCCAGGCTAATGTGATGAAGGATCTCTGTGTGAAGAAAGATTGCTGTGTAAAGAATGATCCAGGCTAATGTGATGAAGGATCTCTGTGTGAAGATAGATTGCTGTGTAAAGAATGATCGAGGCTAATGTGATGAAGGATTTCTGTGTGAAGATAGATTGATGTGTAAAGAATGATCAAGGCTCATGTGATGAAGGATTTCTGTGTGAAGATAGATTGCTGTGTAAAGAATGATCCAGGCTAATGTGATGAAGGATTTCTGTGTGAAGATAGATTGCCGTGTAAAGAATGATCCAGGCTAATGTGATGAAGGATCTCTGTGTGAAGATAGATTGCTGTGTAAAGAATGATCGAGGCTAATGTGATGAAGGATTTCTGTGTGAAGATAGATCGCTGTGTAAAGAATGATCCAGGCTAATGTGATGAAGGATCTCTGTGTGAAGATAGATTGCCGTGTAAAGAATGATCCAGGCTAATGTGATGAAGGATCTCTGTGTGAAGATAGATTGCTGTGTAAAGAATGATCCAGGCTAATGTGATGAAGGATCCAGGCTAATGTGATGAAGGATTTCTGTGTGAAGATAGATTGCTGTGTAAAGAATGATCCAGGCTAATGTGATGAAGGATTTCTGTGTGAAGATAGATTGCCGTGTAAAGAATGATCCAGGCTAATGTGATGAAGGATCTCTGTGTGAAGATAGATTGCTGTGTAAAGAATGATCGAGGCTAATGTGATGAAGGATTTCTGTGTGAAGATAGATCGCTGTGTAAAGAATGATCCAGGCTAATGTGATGAAGGATCTCTGTGTGAAGATAGATTGCCGTGTAAAGAATGATCCAGGCTAATGTGATGAAGGATCTCTGTGTGAAGATAGATTGCTGTGTAAAGAATGATCCAGGCTAATGTGATGAAGGATTTCTGTGTGAAGATAGATTGCTGAGTAAAGAATGATCCAGGCTAATGTGATGAAGGATTTCTGTGTGAAGATAGATTGCTGTGTAAAGAATGATCCAGGCTAATGTGATGAAGGATCTCTGTGTGAAGATAGATTTCAGTTTAAAGAATGATCCAGGCTAATGTGATGAAGGATTTCTGTGTGAAGATAGGTTGCTGTGTAAAGTATCATCCAGGCTAATGTGATGAAGGATCTCTGTGTGAAGATAGGTTGCTGTGTAAAGAATGATCCAGGCTAATGTGATGAAGGATTTCTGTGTGAAGATAGGTTGCTGTGTAAAGAATGATCCAGGCTAATGTGATGAAGGATCTCTGTGTGAAGATAGGTTGCTGTGTAAAGAATGATCCAGGCTAATGTGATGAAGGATTTCTGTGTGAAGATAGATTTCAGTTTAAAGAATGATCCAAGCTAATGTGATGAAGGATTTCTGTGTGAAGATAGATTTCAGTTTAAAGAATGATCCAGGCTAATGTGATAAAGGATCTCTGCGTGAAGATAGATTTCAGTTTAAAGAATGATCCAGGCTAATGTGATGAAGGATTTCTGTGTGAAGACAGATTTCAGTTTAAAGAATGATCCAGGCTAATGTGATGAAGGATCTCTGTGTGAAGATAAATTGCTGTGTAAAGAATGATCCAGGCTAATGTGATGAAGGATCTCTGTGTGAAGATAGATTGCTGTGTAAAGAATGATCCAGGCTAATGTGATGAAGGATTTCTGTGTGAAGATAGATTTCAGTTTAAAGAATGATCCAGGCTAATGTGATGAAGGATCTCTGTGTGAAGATAGATTGCTGTGTAAAGAATGATCCAGGCTAATGTGATGAAGGATCTCATTTAACGAATGCAAAGCGATAAGATTATCTCAGCTAATGTGAAGAAGTTTCTTATGTTTCAAGAATGATCTGAGGATCTCAGTGAGAAGAAGGATCTCAGTTTCAAGAATGATCTCAGGATCTCAGTTTGAAGAAGGTTCTCAGTGTTTCAGACAGATATAGTCGCAGCATACTGGAACACTCGCAGTTGAAAATTGGGACACAAGCAGTTGGAGAACTACAAGAAGGGAGTTGAATTCCTATGAAAATATCAAATTCCACAACAGACAACCTTTCCATGTGAGATGGAAATACCTACCTTGATATGTGTTGAGCACTAACTGCTGCTCCTATGCCACCTCACCTCTAGGAACCTAGCTCATGTGCATGATGAAATGGGACTGAATTACAGGTGATGAAAACTTAGGTCGTCACGTAGGTTGTCAATAACCAGATATGGTAAGGCAGCTGCACATACAACAAGGCATTGTTAGTGACCATCGGTCAATCATGGTCTGTCTCCGGCAGATCGTTGGCTTCAGCTGCTCATTATCAATATAGCAATTTAACACTCTTTTAACTGCTCATGTTGTCAGAAATGCAGCTAGAAGTAAGAGTTATCAAACCTTCTGCATGATAAAGTCCTCTGGACTGTAGAGCCATCTTTGATCGATATGTCAACTAGAAAATATCCCAATTATGAATCTTTTAGATAAATAAGACAACAGGTACTGCATCTAATGAAACTTAGCTATCAACCTTGAAAATCTTGCCTCCAAAAACATACTAATATGGAAGGATACAGTATTGTCATTAACTCTCTTTAAACATTGGGCAAACTGGCTCACACTTGTGCTAATTTCTATTCATACATAAACTTCTATCAATCATGTTTATCATATTTCTGAGCCAGATCTTCAAAAATACTTATAATCAAGAACCATTGCTGAAAAAGCACAACATATTTACTTCAAACTTAGTTTAAGTTTTACAACTGCTTCCAAAGCTTAACCAGATTTGTTTGAGTATTCCTACATTGATCAAATCAGCGAATACAAAAGGTAAAACTACCGTACATTGATATTGGCCTGCTTGTGACTGTGGGAGCATTCAGGTTGTCCAAGTGACAAGCATGTGACACGCATGTGACACGCCACCTTTCTTATCAATGTTATTTAGACCAGGTCCCCATGCTATTGTAATAACCTGCTGATCAATATCTACAGATGTTGTAATCTGCATACTGATAACAACATTATATGCACAAAGGTAAGAAACTTGACAGCGTA